TCACCCTTTTGTGGATGATGTGTAAACCCCTTAGAAAGGAACCGACCCAAAAAAAACACCCCACGGGTCGCGCCAAAAATCGCACCGGGGTCATCGAACCCTTCGGGGATTTTGGCGCACTCCCGGTCTCGCACTCTCCTGCAGGTGTCGGGTGCGCGAGCGCTGTTCACTCAAGCACCTGGCGGTGAAAACGGTCTTTTTCAACGACGAAAAAGGCTGCGAGGTAGGTCGTACCACGAAGGTGCCCGGTGGGGGGGGGCCTAGTAGACTGGAGAGACCATTTAACCTGAACAAACAGCAAGCTGCCATACCCTAGCGCAAATTCGTGAAATAGCATGAGCCTTTCATAGACTTGCCGGACTCATGCCATACACCCGTGAACTTTTTTGGTTGTCCCCGATCTAATGTAGACTGTGGATCAATAAAACTAAAACCCTTCCCATTTATATAGCTGGTAGAACCCCTTCAGGTGGGGGGGGGGTTATTCAGCAACGGTCTATAAGTACCCTCATCTTCGCACTCATCCCACCGTAGATCAGGACGGGCCTTCGCAAATCCGCATGGCCCGTCCTCGGCGCAGATGTGGCGTCTCTTTTTCCCACCCGACAGGTCTAGGTCAAGCAGATCCCGAAACCAGGGATGTCACCAGCGGCCATGACATCCCTATCAATAGGTGTAGGTCCCACCGACAGGTGTAAGTCAACCACATGAGTCGAAAGATCTTCACATCACTCACGGGGTTTTGACATCAATAATCATCCAAAATGGATCAATCATGATGAATCACAAACATTCCCGATGACATCAAGCTCCAAGTGGGCACTGGGACGATCCTCGACGGCTCGGAGAGGAAACTTGTTGTTCTTGTCATCTGGGATGATGTCGGTGCGGCTGGTCCCCAAAAGTATGAGCCATTTTGGGCTGTGGGTGTTTTCACCACCAGGAGACCGACCGGTTGGCCCGACCGGCGTGGACTCTTCGTTCGCGACCTGGTGTCGGTCCAAGGAGGGCTCCTATGTTGAACGACCCATCCTCTATTGGTTTCTGGCATCTCACGTGCCCCGGATACATTCTTCTGCACAAACTGAAGGACTCATCTCGTGACTCCAGTGACTCCAAGTGTCAACCACGCGTGCTCTCGCCCGGCGCGCCGATCCTGCGGCACGGAGAGTCATTCTCATCCAGGTGCAACTTGGTGCATCCACTTCAATGATTTCCAGAGACCCCCTCGAACTCCAACAATCATGGAAGTGAATGGCATGCCATGCCTGGCATGGCACCTGGACAGACCATGTTCCGAATACCCAAACACGAGGGATTGTCCACTTCCATGCTTTGTTGGAGAGGTGGAGACCCACATAACTATTGCAGGGTCTGAAAGCCACTCCTTTGCAATTCTTGCTCTTGGCACATCTTGGAAATGTAGAATCTTGATTAATAACCATTCCCCATATGAAGCTGTTTTATGAAATCCTACTTAAATGACGGGGGGGCGTTCTTCGTCCTTGTTACGTCGAAAGGAGACTTCTCCATTTTTTTGCGTCCCGGAGCAACGTCTGCGTGCGCAGCGACCCAATCCCCAGATGTTCAGGAATCGCTTGGGGCAATGCTGGAGCTCAGGAGAAGTCCACTTGGTGAGCTGGCAGGGTGGTGCAAATACTTCAAAATGAGGGAACCTGCGATGGATGGGAACAAGAGCAAATATAATTGGTCTAATTTGGTGGTAACTTCTCAAACCTGATCCTTGCCCACCACTCCACTCTCCTCGATGCCTGACCTGCGCCAGAGTCTCTGCTTGTGTTTGACAGGTGTGGGCACGGGTGAGCCAACCCTTTGTTGTGCTTCAGGAACTGGAGTGTGTAGTGGAGACACAAGGGGTGGTTCCAACTCCTACAGAAAGCCCCAGATGTTAAAAAGATGCTGTCTGTTCATTTCCGAGACCTCCAAGAAGGACCAGGTGATGTGCCGCAGGAAGAAAGGGCCTTTTGTGACCTGTTTTGTTTGCGCCCGTGATCTTCTCCAAGAAGGACTGGGCGCCATCAAGAATAATCTGGGGAAGGAGAGGAGAGAATCGATGGGTGTGTGATCGTTTGTGACCCCAATGAATATGTGACTTCGTGACATGGTGATTTGATTCTATTGCTACGATGTGCCAAGGCGCGCGACCGATCAACGAGCGATCCCATCGACCACAAGTCACGTGCCAACCAAACACCTGCTTTGACTGAGCAAAACCTCGCAGCTGGGAGACCTCCCAGGCAATTTACCCTGGAAGGTTCGGAAACATACACCAGTCTACCCCGGGGCGCGATTTCAGGGGTCTCCCTAATAAAAATATATTAAAAAACATATGAAAACATACACACGCATATGTTCGTTTAAAAAAAAATGGCTGGGTAAAAAGAAAAACATGCCCCCAAACAAATACAAAACATGCCCACGGTGCTGGCGCCTCGTGGGGGTCAACGAGGCTCCGGATCGACGCAGCTCCACCTCGAAGCGCGCGAGATCCGTCGAGCAGTCGGCAGGGTCGAAGATCTTCCACGGGGGGAGGACGTGTTGCATGGCAAATCCGTTTCTTTCTTAAATCAATGTACATAGATGCTGATGTTTCTTTATTCAATTGTCCAAATCTACTGTTCAAAATGTATTGATTCAATGTTCCAAATGTGTTTTTTGTTTAATAACAATAGATACATAAATTGAATAGATTAAATAAACGTCGATTGATTTTACATAATTGTCAAGATCCATTCAACACATTGCAAGAGTGAATAACTTAAAGTAAATTAGGTATGAAATATTAAACAACTGTTCGGTCTTGTCTATTTGATCTATGCATTTTTATAGCCGTTTAAATGGACGTTGAAAACTAAATAGTGTAAATCAAAAACCCGTCTACTTTTGTCATTCATGTAGTCAGAATATAAATAAATTAAACAGATTCACTACAATTAGAACAAAGGGTCAAATAAATTGAAAAAATGCGTCCATGAAGTAAATGCATTTCAAATTAATTGTATCTTCTACTGTTTATGGATCTTGAAAATTAAAAATATTAAAAAAATAAATCACCTCGTAGAACTAAGTGTATATACATGAGTTCAAAGAAAACACAATGACGAAACAATGCCTAAAGGACCCTCGATCATACATATATATATATATAATACACCTGAGAGATCTGAGCGCATACGTCGGAGACATTTCAGACCCCCGAGCCAGCGAGCCGAAGAACGTGTGACGAAGCGATGAGGAGTTTGTGCCTGTTCAACCAGTCAGCCAGATGATACCCACGCGACCATGTGATCCAGTGTCTAGTGTCATCCAAAACGGGCGTCCGTTCTCTACATCATCAGCATCACAAGCACCAAATCACTGCGGTGGATATACAGCAACAAATTGCTGGGAAATGAGACAAAATTCACAAACGGCACCCCCATCATGCAGGCTACTGTAACAATGTGGCTGTGGCTAACAATGTGTGCCAAGGATAAATATCTGCGAATCTCTGGGTGATCTCCATTTGAGCCACACAAATCGATGGATTCTGAGCATCCGGGTTTGAGGAGAGCGTCAAGAAACTGGATTTTGTGGATCAGAACCTCGGGGTAAAGCAACCCATTCGGTTCACTGAACCTACCTGCCCTGGTGAAGCACCCCACCTGCCCGGGAAAGTTCGGTGCCCCGCTCCCGCATCATGGGGCGCCCGAACCTCCGGCGAGAGCCTCAAGCACTCGATGTCAGAACTCGATGGTTGGATCCAAGACTCTAAGAAACACTTCTTCGATGGGATGGGATGGGATGGGATGGGATGGGATGGGATGGGATGGGATGGGATGGGATGGGA